AGGATGACATGCAACCATTCATTCTGTAAGCGTGAGAGGAGACACAGGATCAGTGAGATAGCAGGAAAAGCATAAAGGAGACCTCTGGGCCAGGGGTGATGAGCAAAGGCATCCACCCCTAGTGGAGGCTCATCTCGAACACTCATTGAGAACCAGAGAGTGCACTAGATCCACGGTGCAGTTCCGCTCACATGGAATGTGCATGGTTCTGAGCCCATTGCAGGAGACGCCATGCAATTTCCAGCAGCCGTGCAGAATGACCATTGCCTTGCTGGTCGATGTAAGCGACAGCTGTTGTGATGTGGAGGCTTGCATTGAGCACTCATTGAGAACCATAGAGCACAACTTGTCTGAACCTGTTCCACAGCATCTGAACAAGGGACGGGTCCGTTTCCATTTGCTTGGCTGAGGCCCGCCTCATGAGACATGACATGAGATCTGCTGCATGGTTCTGCTCACCTGGAACGTGCATGGCTGTGATGGAGTGCAGGTTCTGATGGGCTCAGAGCAGGAGACACCATGCAATTTCCAGCAACTGGGCAGAACGAACACTGCCTTGCCGGGTGATGTACAGTAAGTGATGGCTGTTGTGTTCTCCGGCCACACCACTATGTGTTTGCCTCTCAGTATCAGTGCAAAATGTTTTGGTGCTTTTAGCACTGTGGCCAGCTCCACACAGTTGATGTGGGGAGATGGGCAGTGACTCCATTTTCCCCTCACAACCTGTGACAGACACATGACAGATAAGTGATTGTCTGACATGGCAGTGGCAAACTCTGTTCCCAGTTCACTTCAAAACCCAGTTGGGTCAAGTGTTGTACCAGCTCCACCGTGTGAGATGCAGCCTGCTGTCTGGAAGGTGCCATCAGAATCAGATTGTCTAAATATAAAAGGACTCTGATTCCCATCCGATGTAATGGTTTTGACACCATCTCCACGCACTTGGAGAATGTACGGGGGCCAGAGAATAACTGAAGGGCAACTGGTTGTATTGAAAATGTGCACCTTGGAAAGAGAAGCACAGGAATTTCTTGCATTTTGGGATGATAGGCACATGATAGTAAGTGTGTCTTAAGTCAATGGACGTAAATTAATCTCCCGGACTCACACACTCCAGCACCTGCTTTGTGGTGAGCATGTGAAACGGCCTCTTCATTTTGTATTTGTTGAAGAGGGACAGGTCGAGGATAGGTCTCCTTTCACCCGACTTTTTGGGAACCAGAATGTAGCTCGAGTAGAAAATCCCATACTCCTGACTGGGTGGGACCACGGAGATTGCTTTTTGCACCTGCAACTCTGCTGTCAGCGTGGCGTGTCTGATGAGGGAGGAGTGGGGGCACTTGGCGAGAGAGGAACGCCCTTGCATCTGCCGCTGTTCTAATGATCTCCGGCAGATTGTGGAGCAGTGCCCTGAAGGCCGGAGGCTGACCGGCAGCGAGAGTGTGCTGCTGAGCCAGAGGAAGCTCGTCTCCCCCAGCATCCATGTCGGCCGATGGATTGAGGGGGAGCCAGAGATGAAAGGAAGTGAGTCAACAGACTCAGGCCCACCTATGCTGAGGAACTCCACCAAGGGATTATCACCGCAGTTCGCCCAGCGGCTGTCATTGTCAGGATCTGAGGGCTGTGAATGCCTCAGCCCGGTGCTGCTTCTTCGCTGCGGGCAAGCAAACACAGAAAGGGCAAGCGGCCTGTGAGGAGACTGCCAGCCCAGCATGCTCTGCGCCAAGGCAAGCCTCACAGTGAGGGCGTGGGTTGCTGGGCTTGTATCACAGCCTGGGCACCCAGTGATGGCAGTGCAGTGCTGGAATCTGGTGTTCAATGTTCTTTGGTCTTTAGACATATTCAGGAATCACTCTTGTAGACTGCTGAAGAAAAAGAGGGCGCTGATTACAGGTCACGTTGGCATTTATGCCAGCAGAGCTGACCAGAGTGGGGACAGCGCAGTGCAGGGCACAGGGCATGAAAGAAATCTCTTCAGGAATGCACATGAGTGAGGGATAAACCCAATAGCGACAGCTCTTAGAGGGGAAAGCCTATATGAAATACAACAACGGTATATGTACCTATGAAAAGAGATGTGTAACAGTAAACAAAGCGGGTAATTGAGAAACCCCATATTTTAATTGGCATAATATAGACACGGTAAGTTCTCCAACCTTACAACAATTCTCTCTAACATTACACAAACAAGGCATTAACAGGTCTTTTTTTAAACTTAGCATTTAGTCCCAACGAGTAGTGGAAACATCGCTCTCTTTCAAGTAGCTCCAAGGTCAGTAAATCCAACTGGTGGTCACTGCGTCTTCCCCCACACGATGACATACACTCTCAAAGTCCCAACAGGTAGCGTAGCACAGACAATAACATTATGAACCATTAATCTGCTCATTAACCCACATCACATTATGTGCGGCAGACACACTGGCCTCAAGAGGTCAAATCAATTGGGTACTGTACTCCCGGGGAAGCCAGTGTTGATTTTGTGATCATTCACCGCCACAGGTCTTCATAGGCTGGCTGCTTGTAGGTTAGACCTGGTCAGGTAAAACAGCGGGTCATTCCTGTATAGGAACATTCTCGGACATGCAGTCTGTATTTTTCTCCACATTCTCTGGTCACAGTGTAGCCGGAGGTAAAATATATCAACAAAACCAAAGGCTCACATGAACGCGCAACAACCTGGAGATTATGACCATTCAAGGAAATCCTTAGACTAATATATAATACTTTATTTTGTTAGAAAAAAGTCTTACGAACAAGAGTTTGCAAATTTTGTATGAACACCCTTGATTCTGCATAGAAATACTAGAACATATGTACACCTCATTTTTTTAGCTTTAGGTCATGTCTAAGATGATAATTCACTGTTGTAAAATTGTGGATAAGTCAGTAAACAAAGAAAAGCAAGACATGGGCCCTTTAACTTCCATAAACAAAATAACCTCAGGTGACAACAACAAAACACCAGATTTTAGCATGTGGTTAGTTTTTGGGAAAAAGTAAACCAACATTCAGAAACCTTGTGGGAAAATAAAACCCTGTCATTCAGTAACATATCAAACCACCTTCAGCTACAATATCTTGAAGCAAATGTTTTCTGGAGGAGTTGAGTCTTTCACATTTTTTTGGAGAAATGTTGTCCCACTGCTGTCTACAACATTGCTTCAGTTCATGGATGTGAGGGCATTAGTTTGCACATTGGTTTAGCCTTTCAGATGCCAACTGAAACTGCTTGACAGATTGCATCAAATTTGTCTGAAGAATATTCTGGTATAAAGTAGAGTTCACTTTCATCTTAATGACTGGGTGTTTTCCAGGTCCTGTGGCTGCAAAACAAGCGCAGATCATCAGCCCTCCATCACCATGCTTTACAGTTGGATGTGAGGTGTTTATGGTGATATGTTGTGATTAATTTTTGCCAAACACGGCATTGTGTATGATGACCAGAGATCTCCATTTTCATTGCCATGTTCTTTTTGGAGAGAAGGAACCCATTTCTAGATGCCTTTTTGTGAAAGGCATTTTTGTTGAGTCTTCTAACTGTGCTGTGTGTAGCTGTTGGGTTTTTCCTTGGACTGAATTTGTTGGGACACTCACTCCTGGCCCTTCCTGGACCAAGTAGCCGTGATAATGGCTGATGTCCTTTGTTCTTGGCATGATGTAGACACACACCTCAGTGCTCCAGAATACCAAACTGCCAAAGGTTCTTTTTTAATAAAGGTAGTCACACTTCTTAATGGTTGACTCATCCTGTGCATTTGAATAGTAACTCTTGGCTGCTGATTACCATCTCAAAGACTGTGGAAGTTGGAAGGAAATACTTGTATTTTCCTACCTCGTTTCTTAATGTTGGTTAACTTTTAGGAAACAGGAGCCACAAACTGAAATCTGTTGTGTTTTTTGTTGTCACCTGAGGTTATTTTATTTGTTTATAGAAGCTCTGGAGGTCTACACAAGTGTTTTTTGCCCTGATAACTAAAAATATGGAATCAAAGGAGGATGTATTTTCATTTTCCCATAGTAAGCTCTGACAAGTATTGATGAGTCAAACTGTTGCAAGGCAGCTTTATTTATATAACACATTACACAGAGGCAATAAAAAGAGCTTTGCATAGGCAAAGATAAGCAGTAACAGCATTAAAACCAGAATAAAATCACTTAAGACAAAATAAATGTTAAACTTTGCTAAAAGGAGCTAAATTACATGAAATGAAAATAGATACATGCAAAGTAAAAGGTCTGAAACATGAGAATCTAGCAGTTACAGTGGAGTCATAGGTTATAAGTTGCCCTGATGAAACAAAAGTCAAACAAAAACACAGGAAAATAGCAGGATTTTCAATTGAGATGTGAAAGTGGTAGAGTTAGGGTACATTTCATTGGGAAGCTGGTTCCATCTGTGTGCAGAATAGCAGCTAAAAGCATCTTCACCATGTTTGGTTCTTACCAGAGGTTTTAACAGCTGACTGCTTCCTAAAGACCTGATAGCCCTGCTGGGTTTATATTCTTCAGGATTGTTGACAGATTTTTTAAAAATACATTTGGTATGCAGTCATATATAATGGAAGTGCATTAAGCTGTTTCACTTTCTTATAATTTCTGGGTCCTTCTGACAATCTGGGGACAAGAAAAAACTACATGAGAATAGTTTAAAAATGATTCATCCTATTTATCACAAGAACACATTTGCATTTCTTTTACTATTTACTAGTAATATTTAACTGGAAGCTACAAATGCCCTGCACATTGTTTCATTCAAGGTCAATAGACCAACATTTGCAGTGAAAGGTCTCATTCGCCCAGGTTAATGCGCTTCACTCAGCACATTATTTATGAGAACAAACATTTTACAACATGACTCAGTGACAGAATGAGAATCTCTGTGCCTGAGGCCACTGTCGAGGGTTTGTGTGGTGCTGTAGCAGAACAGTCTGCTCAGAGGTGACACAGTGTTTCTAAAACATTGTAAAAATGACCATTCACTGATACTTCCAGCCCTGTCTACAGGATCTTGACCTCCCGGGAGTTATCCTGCAGTATTCTAAGTGTGATGATGAGTTTGATAGCTTTTCTAAACCAGGGGTAAAACATGGCATAAATCAGAGGGTTTAGACAAGAGTTCAATAACCACAACCAAAACAATATGGGATAATATGACATGGCAGTGGACATGTCTACACCTGCAAGAATGGGATAGTAGTATGGGCAGAAACACATCACAAACACAGCTATCAGAATCCCCAGAGTCCTGGCTGCCTTGGGCTGTGATTTTCTAGCAGTTGGAGCTGCTCTGGCCTTGGTAGCAGCAGCCTGTGACTGAATTACACGCATCTGAGAAAGGGCAGCCACAAACACCCTCATATACAGCACAGCTATAACAGTACAGGGCCCAATAAAGCTCATAAATAAGTCAACAGTTCCTATGGTTACAGATACAGATTTTAACTTTAGTCAGAGTGACCTTAGAAAAGTAGACCAGTGGGTCACAGATAGTCAGATAACGGTCGATGGATATGAGCACCATGTGGCCCAAAGCACTAGCACCCAGACAGTATAAAATGTACAGAGACAGAGCACACATTATCCTCCCCAGCAGCCAGCATGACTCAATATATTGCTGGCCTTCAACGGGCATCACCAACAGCCCAAGTCCCATGTCACACACAGCCAGGGACTGGAGCAGAGTGTTGGTCGGGGTGTGGAGCTGCCGGAAGTGGGAGATGGAGATGATGACGAGCAAATTGAGTGTCACAGTGAGCAGAGAGACAGATGCAACTAGGGTGTAGAGTAGAAGAGTCTCAGAGCGTGGTCGCAGCAGACGCCTGCAGGAGGAGTTGAAGTTGGGGAAGCAGAGCTCAGAGCCCCTAGTGTCGTCCATCAGGGAGGAGAGGAATTGCATACATCTCAGAAAGGGCAGCCACAAACACCCTCATATATAGCACAACTATTACAGTACAAGGCCCAATAAAGGTCATAAACAAGTCAACAGTTCCTGCGATCTCGTTGACAACCACCACACACTCCCCATAGCAGGAGCTGAATTTGTCTGGGTTCACTAAATTTTCCATTAGAATTAACCTGTTGTAGGTAATTGAACAGATCCAGCAGAGACAGATACAGATTTTAACTTTAGTCAGAGTGACCTTAGAGGAGTAGACCAGTGGGTCACAGATAGTCAGATAACGGTCGACGGATATAAGCACCATATGGCCCAAAGCACCAGCTGTCAGACAGTAAAAAATGTAGGGAGACAGAGCACACATTATCCTCCCCAGCAGCCAGCATTTCTCAATATATTGCTGGCCTTCGACAGGCATCACCAGCAGCCCCGGGTCACACACAGCCTTAGACTGGACTGTCCCTTGGCATCATCTTTAACCTCATCAGCCCCATGCGTATTTTACTTAAAATTAAAAATACATATGAACGATAATTAAAGTGATGAATCATTTTCATAAAAGATTCGATACAGTTTTTTTATTGTCCAAAGTCTGAAGTGATCTTTTGGTTCATCATATAAAACCTTTATTAAGTATGTCTCATTTTAGTGTATTTTGTTTTGTCTGAGATTTTGACCTTTAGACACCTTGAGCCATCCAGACTGGATGAAAAGCAGCAGAAGAGACCAGGTCCAAGCTCCTCTGTTCTCAGGAGGTGGCAGTGCTGATTGTGCTGTGGCCTTCTGCCTTCATCTTGCAAAGCCGTCCTTCATTATGTCTTTACTGCAGCCCAGCAACATAGCAGACAAGCTGTAGCTCTTTTTGAAGACCAACAATCATCAGACATCACCTCTTGCCACCTCTGGGATGAAAAGGTCAGTTTATATATGTTCAAGCTATGTTTGTGAAGGACCATGACACAGGTTTAATACCCCGACCCCAGAATATTTTGAGTTGTTGAATATAGCATTAGCATAGTTTATTAAGGACAGCAGAGTGTTCAGATATAAAGGTAAATAGTCAAATTTACATCAGAATGATGATATTTTGCCTTTTGCCTGTTGCCTGGTGTTGCCTCACAGCAAGAAGGTTCCGGGTTCGAGCCCCGGCCAACCCGGGGCCTTTCTGTGCGGAGTTTGCATGTTCTCCCTGTGCTTGCGTGGGTTCTCTCCGGGTGCTCTGGCTTCCTCCCACAGTCCAAAGACATGCAGCATAGGTTGATTGGAGACTCTAAAATTGCCCGTAGGAGTGATTGCGTTTGTGAGTGGTTGTTCGTCTGTGTGTTAGACCTGTCCAGAGTGTACCCCGCCTCTTGCCCGCAGCTGGCTGGGATTGGCTGCAGCCCCCCATGACCCCGTTTGGGACTCAGCGGTTTAGAAAAAGGATGGATGATATTTTGTTTGAAATTTAGTTTTAAATGTGAAATTTAAATGTGGAATAATATTGACACAGACTTAACAGAGCAGCAAAGAAGTCTGCTGACTAGCCATTTCACTTAGATTTTATACATTTATCATAATGTAACAAAATCAGCAATTGTATATTATTTAAATATTTTGATAAGATATCCATAAATTTGTAATACACTTTGGTTTTACTCATGTACAATGAAGTCTATTAAACCTTTTCACTTTTTAAAAATTTCTACATCATTGTGACAATGTGGGGACAAGACAAAACTAAATGAGAGTATCTTAAAAAAAAGGTTTCAACCGATTATGAAGACACTTTTACATTTATCTTAATATTTGTGCAATAAAATCTTACTGCCAGAGACAAATGCCACACAATGTTTCATTCAAGGTCAATAGACCAATATTTTCACTAAAAGATCACATCAGCCCGGGTTAATGTGCTTCACTCAGCACTGAGGTGTGTATTTATGAGAAAAACAGTTTAAATGATTGACAGAATGAGAAACTCTGTGCCACTGTCGAGGGTCAGTGTAGTGCTGCAGCAGAACAGTCTGCTCAGAGGTGACACAGTGTTTGTAAAACAGTGTAAAATGACCATTCACTGATACTTCCATCCCCTGTCTACAGGATCTTTACCTCTCTGGAGTTATCCTGCAGTATTCTGAGTGTGATGATGAGTTTTATAGCTTTTCTAAACCAGGGGTAGAACATGGCATAAATCAGAGGGTTTAGACAAGAGTTCAGCATCATGATCCACAACAATATGGGATAATAGGACAAGCTGGTGGAGGTGTTCACACCTGCAAGAGTGGGATAGTAGTACGGGCAGTAACATGTTAAAAATACTACTATCAGCATCCCAAGAGTCCTGGCTGCCTTGGGCTGTGATTTTCTAGCAGTTGGAGCTGCTCTGGCCTTGGTAGCAGCAGCCTGTGACTGAATTACACGCATCTGAGAAAGAGCAGCCACAAACACTCTTATATACAGCACAGCCATGACAGTACAAGGTCCAATAAAGGTCATGAACATGTCAACAGTTCCTGAAATCTGGTTGATGACCACCACACATTCTCCATGACAGGAGCTGAATCTGTCTGGTTGCACTAAGTGGTCTAGCAAGATTAACCCATTGTAGGTAAATGAACAGGCCCAACAGAAACAGATACATATTTTAACATTAGTCAGAGTGACCTTAGAGGAGTAGGTCATTGGGTCACAGATAGTCAGATAACGGTCTATGGAAAGGAGCACCATATGGCCCAAAGAGCTCGAGGACAGGATGTAAAAAATATAAGTAGATAGAGCACACATTATCCTCCCCAGCAGCCAGCATTTCTCAATATAGCGCAGGCCTTCGACAGGCATCACCAGTAGCCCCATTGCCAGGTCGGCCACAGCCAGAGACCGGAGCAGAGTGTTGGTCGGGGTGTGGAGCTGCCGGAAGTGGGAGATGGAGAAGATGATGAGCAAATTGAGTGTCACAGTGAGCAGAGAGACAGATGCAACTAGGGTGTAGAGTAGAAGAGTCTCAGAGTTTGGACGTATCAGACGCCTGCAGGAGGAGTTGAAGTTGGGGAAGCAGAGCCCGAGGCTCACAGAGCCATCCATCAGGGAGGAGAAGAGCGGGGGTGAGGTGGTGACAGTTAATTTATCTTCTTCTTACATCACCTTCCCTCTTTTTTACAAGTCCTGTGAGATGATGTAAACTCTCTGTTGTCATTAACAGCATAGACATAGGAGCTCTAGCATCGATTGTTGCAAGTAAAAAGTAGTGGCTTTATTTGCAATTTCCTGTTTTTCTGCATAAATTGGTCATGAAATGTGATCTGATCTTCACCAAAGTCACAAATGTCGCCATACACAATCTTTCTAAACCACTAAAACTCAAACACACAATATTTCGTGTCTTTATTGATCCCACACATTACACATACAAAGGCAAGGTGGAAAAATGGCAGCAGTGCTTTAATAACTGGTTGAACCACTTTTGGCAGCAATAACCTCAAGCAAGTGTTTCCTGTAGCTGTGGATTATACCTGCATGACATTCGGGAGTAATTTTAGACTATTCTTCCCCACAGAACTGCTTCAGCTCAGCCATATTCTTAGGACGTCTGGTGTGAACGTCTTGAGATCATTTTACACATTTTGGGTTGAGGTCTGGGCTCTGACCAGTCTACTTCTAAAGGTGGATTTTGTGTCTCTGAAGAAATTCTGTAGTAGATGTAGTTCAATGTTTATGTAATGGTTTGTCCCCCTCACCAGGAGGGTGAGGAAGAACTGTGGTAGGACTCAAGATTGCAGACCCAGGTGCTAGTAAAACACAGGGGTTTAATGGAAAAAGACACAAAGTAACAACGTAACAAAGTCCATCTAACCAGGAGGACTGGCGAACGAAAAGGAAATCCACAGCACAGGAACTGACAGCGTGGATATCAAAATAATGTCTGGTTAACCTCATGAAAAAACATACAAAGAGATCCACAGCACAGGAACTGTCAGCGTGGACGTCTAGAGACGTATAACACAAAACATGTAACCTACGTACAAAATGACTGGGATGTGTTTAAAGCTGCAGCCACCTTAGAGGACTTTTCTGTCAGTGTACAGGATTATGCCGAGTATGTGACCGGATACATTAGCACCTGTATTGACAACATTGTGCCCACCATACAAGTCAGGAGTTTTCCCAACCAGAAGCCCCGGATAAACAGTCAGGTACGCCACATGCTGCGTGCTCGCTCTCATGCATTCAGATCAGGCGATGAGACAGAGTGCAAAGCTGCAAAGTACAGACTGAGGAAAGCCATCAAAGTGGCCAAGAGGCAGTACAGAGAGAAGCTGAATGGCTTCTATTCTACTGCTGACTCCGGACGGATGTGGCGAGGCCTGCAGCACATCACAGACTACAGGACCACCACCAGCATCATCAGCTCCACGGAAAGCCAGCCAGATGACCTCAACACTTTCTACACCCGCTTTGAAACCTCCAGCCACAGCACAGAGAGGAGGCACACACACACCACCCAACCCCCCACCACCCCTCCACTAACCCTCTCACCAGACCAAG